ATCCAGCCGTCAGATTGCTAGGGTTGGTTTGGGTTTAGTTTTGCCTCTTCCTTTGTTTTGTTTCTTCATATTCCACATGTGAGTGAGATCATCCACTATTTGCCTTTCTCCTTCAGCCTTCTTTCACTTAGCACAATCCCCTCCAGTTTCACCCGTGTTGTTGCAAGTGGCAAGATTGCATCTATTAAAACAAATTGTCAGGGAGGACTCCATGTACATTTATAGATGGTGTCTTCTCTATCCATTCCTATGTTGTTGGTCACTTAGATTGTTCTCATAACTTGGCAACTATAAATAGTGCTGCAGTGAACATAGGTTATATCTTTATGGATATTTATCCCTTCTGGTAGATACTTAGGAGTGGGATTGCTGAACCATCTGGTACAACTATTGTTGACATTTTGAGAAATCTCCATACTGTTTTCTATAGGGGCTAGACGAATCTACATTCCAGTTAACAGTGAACAAGGGTTCCATTTTCTTCACAACCTTGCCAACACTTTTTGTTTCTGGTCTTTTTGATATGGGTCATTCTGACTGGTGTTAAGTGGTTTCTTTGTGGTTTTAATTTGCATTTCCCTGATAAGTGATGATGAGCATTTTATTTTTCATGTGACTGCTGACCATCTGTGTATCTTTGGAGATGTTTCCATTTAGATCTTCTGACTATTTATTAATTACATTGTTTTCTTTTTGTTGAATTATAGAGTTCTTTGTAGATCTTGGAGAGTAACCCTTTGCCAGAAGTATGATGTGCAGATTATTTTCTCACTTTCAATAGAGTGTTTTTTCATTTTAATGATATTTTTTTTTGGTGTGCAGAAACTTTTTAGTTTGATATAGTCCCATTTGTTTATTTTTTATTTAGTTTCCCATTTTGTAGTCAAATCCCCAAAGACATCACTGAAGCTAATATCTAAGAGTGTTTTGCCGAAGTTTTATTCTCTGTATATCATGGTTTATGGTTTTACATCCAAATCTATAATCTATTTTGCATCAATTTTTGTCTATGGGGTGAGATAGTAGTCTACTTTCATTCTTTTGTGTGTGACTGTCTGGTTTTCCCAATACTTTTGTTGAAGAGACTTTCTTTTTTCATTTGTATACTCTTGGCTTCTTTGCATAAATCAACTTTCCATATTAGTGTGAGTTTATTTCTAGGCTCTCAATTTTATTTCTTTGATGTGGTTATACCATACTGTTGTAATTACAGTAGCTTTTTAGTACAGTTTTAAGTCTGGGAGTATGTTACTACCGTACTTCTTTTTTATCAGGATGGCTTTGCATATGTTCAACTATACTTGTGTTCTTGGAATAAATCCCACATGGTCATGATGTATGACCTTCTCAATGTATTATTGAGTTCAGTTTACTAAGATTTTGCGAGGATTTTTGCATCTATACTGATAAGGGATATTGATCTGTAATGGGTTTTTTTTTTTAATTTTGTCATGTCCTTGTCTGCTGTAGGTAGCAGAGTAGTGTTGGTCTCATAAAATGTGTTTAGAAACATTCCCTCTTGCTAATTTTTTTGTAAAAGTTTTGGTTGCTAGGTATTATTTCCTCTGGAAAGATTCGGTATAACTCACTGGTGAAAATGAGTGGTCCTGAGCTTTTCTTTTTGGGAAGACCTTTGATTAGTATTTCAGTTTTCTTGCTTATAATCTATCTTTTCAGGTTTTCTATTTCTTCTGACTCCATCTTGGAAAGTTGTATGCTTTTAAGAATTTTTCCATTTCTTCTGGGTTATCAAATGTATTGGTATACTGATGTTCATAGTAGTCTTTTATGAGTCTCTGTATTTCTGAGATGTCCACTGCAACATCTCCTCTTTTAGTTCTGACCCTATTTATTAGAGTTTTCTTCCTTGTTTCTTAGGCAGTCTAGTTAAATGTCTATTTCTTTATCTTTTCAAAGAACCAACTTTTGGTTTCATTGACCTTTTAGAATGTGTTTTTTATTTCCATTTTGCTTATTTCTGCCTTAATTTATATTATTTCTTTTTAGTGGCTTTAGGTTTCCATTGTTCTTTTTTTGTTGTTGTTCTTTAAATTATATTAGATTATTTATTTGAATTTTTTCTTGTTTCTTGATGTTTGCCTGCATTGCTATACACTTCCCTCTTAGTACTTTTTTTTAAAAAGGTTTATTTATTTATACAAACACTGGGGTACAGGCCAGAAGTTCAGGAGGGTGAGAAAATTCACCAGAGACAGAGCGGGGAGCAGAACAGGCAGAAGGACCAAAATACACTGCTGAGGGGAGCAGCAGGCGAGACAGGAGAGGTCTGCCGTGCCATGTGGCAATCTCCCTGGCCAGCCGGGAATCAAAATGGCACTGCAGAGGCTGCAGACAGCTTCACAGTGCTGCGCTCAACCCACTGCACCACCGGGGAGGCCCTCTTAGTACTATTTTTGCTGCATCCCATAGGTTCTAGCAGCACATCCTTATTTTCATTTTTATCCAGGTATTTTTTAAATTATTAACCTAATAGTTACTCAGAAGCATGTTGTTCTGTCTCCATATATTTGAGCTTTCCCCCACTTTCTTATTATGGTTGATTTTTAGCTTGATACCATTGTGATCAGAGATGGTATTTGATATGATTCCAATCCTCATGAATTTATTGACAACTTTTTTATTCCCCAACATGTGATCTATACTCGAGAATATTCCACATATGCAAGAAAAAATGTATATTAAGGACTGAATTATTTTTGCCATTGGGCTTCATAGTAGAAGTTCTCTCAGACATAAAATCACAAAAAGCTTATGTTAGAAGTTTTTTTTTTTTTTTTTAAAGATCTATTTATTTATGTATACAAAAACCAGGGCAAAGACCAGAGGTCTTGGAGATGAGAGGATTCACCAGAGACAGAGTGGGGAACAGAACAAGCAGATTGACTGAAATACACTGCTGATGGGAGCAGCAGGCAAGTCAGAAGAGGTCTGCTGTGCCATGTGGGTAGCTCCCTGGCCTGGAATCGAACTCGTGCTGCAGTGGCTGTGCATAGCTTCATAGGTTGCGTCCCAACCCCTTGCACCACCAGGGAGGCCCAAAAACTTAGAGGTTTTTTCTTTAGTCTAGTTATCATTAGATGTGGTGGTAATTTCTCCAAGGCCACAAAACTTAGGGTAGAGATGGGACACACAGTTCACCTGGCCTATTCCAGCATATCACATGCTGATCAATGTTTGCACATTCTCAGGAACAACTTTCAACAGTCTCTTGCTTTTTAAAGCTGCTAACCTCTCCAACTCACTTAGAATCTTTGCCTCACATATGAAATGCTGAAGAACTTTCTAGTACATCAGTAACTTTCTCTTAAATAGTTATAGAAGAAATTTTGTTGTCCTGTACTTGCATATTTTCTGAAAGTTTGAGATTTTTTTTTAAAGGAACTCACATATGATGTTGGTGGGAAAGTCTACTGGTCCAGTCCCTATAGAAAACAGTATGGAGGTTTCTCAAAATAGTAGAACTTCCATATGATCCAGGAATTCCATTCCTATGTATCTAACTGAAGGATGCAAATATACTAAATAGAAGGGATATAGACACTCCTGTGCTCATTGTAGCACTATTTATATTAAGCAAGCTATGGGAACAACTCAAGTGCCCAATGACACATGAAGAGATAGAGAAGATTCATTATATATATAAATGTACACTATAGATATAAATTTTTTTAAATAGATGCAATCCTGCCATTTGCAACAACATGGGTGAAACTAGAAGGGATTGTGCTAAGTGAAAGAAGGCTGAAGGAGAAAGGCAAATAGTGGATGATCTCACTCACATGTGGAATATGAAGAAACAAAACAAAGGAAGAGGCAAAACTAAACCAAAACCAACCTTAGCAATCTGACTGCTGAATTGAGGCTACCAGAAGAGGAGAATGGGGCTGGAGAGCAAATGTGGGGAGAGGTCCGAAGGACTGTGGTGGAGGATTGTGGGTATTTTGGAGGCGAGGGTGGTGAGGTAACATACATCTGAAAAGGTATGCATCTATACCCCTAAATCATACACAGTTTTTTTATTGAGGTAAACCAACACTGACTCAATAAAAAAAAATGCAAAAAAGTGAAAAAAATCCCAATAGAAATAAAGTTAATGTATTTGCTTGAGCTGCAGCAACAAAATACCACAAAAATGTATTTTCCCACAATTCCCATAATTCTGGAAGACTAAGATTAGAATGCTGGTGAGATTAGTTTTCATTTTTATTCCTCTCTTCTTAATAGGCAGATGGCCATTCTGCTCTTGTTTCCTCAAACAACATTTTCTCTGCACATGCTCCTGGTGTCCAAATGTCCTCGTCTGATAATGACAATCAAATTGGATTCAAGTCCACTCTAACAACCTCATTGTAACTTAAATCGCCTCTGCAAAGGCCCTATCTCCAAATATACTTGCATTCTGAGGTACTGGGGCTAGCACTTCTACATATGTATTTTTGAGAAACATTTCAGTCCATAACAGTTAATTTCTTCACTTTTCCATCACCTCTTTTATGAGTCAAATGTCCTCTACTTCTGGAGATTAGTGAGGTAGAGCCTTTTCAGGCCCTTCTTATGCTTTGAGCACCCAGAAGATGGGTACTTGGTGACTGCAAAGCCCCATTATGACACATAATTGTTTTTGCAGCCTAGCTGTGTCTTCACTGTCTGACAGTTCTGACTGACACAACAAAGTCTGTTTGCCCTGTACATGGCACAAGGCCTTGCAGACAATATGCAGTATTGCCTGTGGATAAATGGCTTCAAAAGCCACATAACAGGGAGTCTGAGTTTTTGAAGAAAATCAGAATAACAAAGAACAAGATTTAGAATTCATGCGCTATACACAGGAGATACAACCCACAGAGTATAGTCCCCGAGCAGGGGTTCACTATGTACTTGAAATATGGTAAGTCTATATTCATGAAACTTCATAATAATCCAGTAATGCTTTGATTTTTTTTATTTATTTATTTGTTTGTTTGTTTGTTTATTGTGGGACCCTCGCCGGTGGCCGGAGATCGAACTGGCGCTGAAGAGGCTGTCCGCAACCCAGCACTCAACTGCTGCGCCACCAGGGGAGGCCCAATGCTTTGATTTTAATGTATGAAAATGCTCCTTAAACTCAGGGTAAGGAGTTGCCTGATAGGGCACAATAAATTTTCTCTTTAGTTCTTGTCTTTATTTCACATGAATGATTGTAAATGTATTGCAGCCCTACGAACACTGACATCAATATCTGGCTTCTCCAGTAGGTTGTCCAAGTGAATGGACCACATGTGCCATAATTGCATCTTATAAAACTCAGCATATCACTATTGTAGGCCATTTAAATCCTGAAATCTCTTGGAAAGAAAAGTATTCTATAGGTGATGGTTGTTACTTTTACAGATTTTACTTAGTAATTACCCTGTCAGACTTCCTCACACTCTATTATGCTAGAGGTATTGGTGTTTGACATTGAAGAAGAAAAATGCTTGCTGGAGAAAGAAAACAAGAAGAGCAGGAGAGAGAGAGAGAGAGAGAGAGAGAGAGAGAGAGAGAGAGAGAGGAAGAAAAGAAGGGTCATTCCAGTTTACTTATAGTGGATCATGATTCTTAACTCAGGGAAATCCCAATTCATGCAAACACAGCTGTCTTCATTATTCCATAATCCAAGGGCGGTTGTAGTAATTTGAGTGCTCCTGTTTTGAAAGGAGAAGATCAGTACATGTGTCTTAATAAATACATTCTTCTTGGTCTTACTGAAAAGCTACATTAAAAACCACGTACTTGATTGCAATGTAACCTGGCTAAGGCCCCCTGCTTTGCTCTTACAGACCATTATTAATGTAGACCCCTTAGGGGCTGTAATTTGGGACTCAATTTGCCATAAAATTGTCCTAAGTGTCACCTTAGTAATCGGAAATCACGTGACCCATGAAATACATTGAACTGAAAGATGGCGCTTCTTGGAAATTAATGTCAAATTGCTCCCAATAGTAAAAAGGCACTTGCCACTGTATCTGAAATGAATTTCTCTGTGCCTCAGAGAGGGTGCAGGGTTAAGAGGAGGATGCTCCACCCACATTGCTTGAGTAGAGACTTCTCCATAAATATCCCAAGGCTGAGCCTATAGGCTGACCAGCCAGCAACCCCTCAAACTGATTTTGACAATGCAAAATCCAAACCCACACTAGCAAAGGATTTTTCTTCTGATTCCAGAAAAATGTAAAAGGTAGTTTAGCTGGCATGCCTGGTCAAACAAAGGTAGCTGGGCTACAAATTTAGGCCACAATGAGATGCCACTTCACATCCACAAGTAGTATTATAAAATAAAAACAAAAATGTCCCAAAATAACAAGGGTAGGCAAGGGTGTGGAGAAATTGGAATCCTTGTGCATTGTAGGTAGGAATAAAAAACTTTGCAACACTTATGGAAAACAGTGTGGTAGCTCCAGCAATTCCACCTCTGGCTATATCTACAAAAGAACTGAAAACAGGGATTTGAACAGAAATTTGTACACCAATGTTCATAGCGATATTATTCACAATAGCCAAAATAACAACCCTAAAGTCCTTTAATGGATAAATGGACCAACAAAATGTGTGTGCGTGTGTACACAACCTTTATATTGCAATATTATTTAGGTCCTCCGTGGTGGCACAGGGGTTAAAATCTTGGCACTATGAACCTATCAGCAGCCACTGCAGCAGGGGTTCAATCCCCAGCCAGGGAGCTGACCCATATGGCACAGCAGACCTCTCCTGTCTCACCCGCTGCTCCCCTCAGCAGTGTATTTCAGTCGATCTGCCTGTTCTGCTCCCCACTCTGTCTCTGGCAAATCCTCTCATCCCCCCCACCCCCGCACCCCTGACCTACACCCCAGCCGTTATACGCATAAATAAATAAAATAAGTCTTTAAATATATGTCTATAATATAACAATTATTTGGCCTCTAAAGGCGCGAAATTCTGACATGCCCTACAATGTGGACGAACCTTGAGGACATTATGCTAATTGAAACAAGCCAAACACAAAAGGACAGATATTGTATGATTCCACTTGCAAGAGGTCATGAGAATAGTCAAATTCATAGAGACAGAAAGTAGAATGGAGTTTGCCAGGGTCTGGGGAAAGAGGTAGATGGGTTATTGTTTAACGGGTACAGAGTTTCAGTTTTATAAGGTAAAAGAGTTCTGGAATGTGGTTGCAGTAGCTCCTTAGTCTGTCCCACAGGCTCTTGGAAAACGTCAGCCAGATCAGCTACCTTTCCCTCTTATTCTGTAGTAACTGCTTTTGTTGTTTCTTTTCGTGGTGATACTCTTGATTGTGAATTTAGTCAAATGGAGTGAGAACGCCTACAAATTGCCTTCACTCTCATGTATGCCTTTTCCATTCCTCACCTCCAGTTAGAGGGCACAAGCAAAACCTCCCTTTGTGTATTCTAGAAGACATATGAAGGCCAGTATTACCCTTGCAGTAATGGGACTTATTAGCCATAGCATGCAAAGCACTGTAAGATGATCATACTATAAAAAATTTCCATGATTTATTTGGTCACCTGGAGGAACAAGATACAGTTTGATTATGAAAATCTTTATAAATGTAAGACTATTCCCAGAGAAACCACATTTAATCTTTTTTTTTTTTTACTTCCTTACATCATTGTTCATTTTTGCATAGTATTTGGCTTTTCCCCTCAGGTGTAGTCCCTGTAGTTGTCCCACCACCACAGCACCTGTGATCCATCACCACGGCCCCTTGTGCTTTTGCCTCCCTTGTTTTGATCCCTCTTCTTCTCCCTTCCTTGCTGTATGCATCAGATCCATGGTCAACTTGAATGTTTTGTCTTTTTTTTTTATCTTTCATTTGATTTCTCTGTATTCTATGTATAAGTAAAGCCATCTGATATTTATCTTCTTCCTTCTGACTTGGTTTGCTTACCATACCCCTTCCAGCTCCATCCATGTTGTCCCAAAAAGCATGAGTTTATCTTTTTTGATTGCCAAGTAGTATATAATATATATATACACACCACACTTTTTGACCCATTTGTCTGTTTTGGAAGCATTTAGGTTGCTTCCATATCTTAGCTATTATAAATAGTGCTACAATAAACATAAGAGTGCAGGTGTCCTTTCAAATTAATGATTTTGTCTTCTTTGGGTAGATTCCTAGGCATGGAATCACCCGATCATATGGTAGATTCATTTTTAGTGTTTTGAGGACCACAGAGACCATTTTTCATGAACAAAATCTTTATAACAGAAGATTAAGGCAACTTTCTTTATCACATTATTGAAGTCATTTTATACATTGTCACTGACACTCATCACCCTGCTTATCTCAGAAGAGGCTATAAGGAATTGGCAGGCTGAGCAGCACTGCTGACAAGCTCATGGGGCCACAGGGCAAAAATTGGAGCCTAGGACTCAACAACAGAGGCATGATAATCCCCCTCTACTTTGGCTAGAAGTAAAGATGAACTGAGGTAGACTGAAACTGAGCTACAAATCATCTAATTTTTAACATTGGATTACGGTGATCCAAAATTCCCGGTTTGCTTAGTCATATCCCAGAAACAAATATAAATCCTCTGTGAAGAAATATAATATTTTCCTACATCATAATCATTTCTGTAACTTTTCATAAATGTTCAACACTCAATAAAAACGATCAGTTACACTCAGAGATCAAACAGCATGAAAGGAAACCAGAATAAGTGGTGTATATTTCTAATAATTATCCAGAGACCCAGATAGTGAAATGATTAAATACAAACTTTCAAATAGATGTCCTTAATATATTAAAAAAGAAAAAAAGACATAATTAAGAATTTTTGCAAGAATTAGGCTATTTAAAAAAAGAGAATTTCTATAAATGAAAAATGGAGTAGTTGGAATTAAGAACTATGTGGTTAATTCTATGAAAATTCAACTCAGATGAAAAGGAAACTAATAAACTAAAAGAAAATTCAGAATGAGCATACACCATGACCAAGTTGGATTTATACCAAAGCCACAGGAAGGCTCAATATGCAAAGCTGACCAGTGAGATTAACTACATTAACAAAATGAAGAATAATTATCATAAGATCATCTCAATAGATATAGTGAAAACATTTGATGAAATTTAACAACCATTTATGTTAAAAATTCTTAGTTAAGTGGGTATAAAGGGAAACTACATAATCATAATAAAGATCATATATTATAAGGCAACAATTAATATCATACTCAATGGTAAAATCTGAAAACTTTTACTCTAAGATTAAAAAATAAGGATGCCCACTCTCCCCACTTTTATTCAACATAATATTGGAAATTCTAGTCAGAGCAACTAAGCAAGAAAATAACAGATAACCAAATTGGAAAGGAAAAAAGAAAAAATTGTCACTATTTGCAGATGATATAATCTTAAATACAGAGAACGCTAAAGACTCCACCAAAACTATTTTAGATTAAACAACAAATTCAGTAAAGTTGCAATATACAAAATCAATATACAACAATAATGTGTGCCTCTATATACTAATAATGAACTATCACACAGAAAATTAAGAAAATAATCCAATTTATAATAGTATCAAAAAGAAAAGATAACTAGGGATAAATTTAAGGTGAAGAAGTAAAAGACCTATACCCTGAAATATATGTCAATAATGAAAGTAACTGGGCCTCCCCTGGTGGTGCAGCAGTTGAGTGCAATGCTGTGAAGCTGTCCGCAGCCTCTGTAGCACCAGATTGATCCGGGCAGGCCAGCAAGGGTCCCACATGTCTTGGCAGACCTCTCCTATTGTGCCCACTGCTCCCCTCATGTATTTCGTCAGTCTGCCTGTCCTGTTCCCCACTCTGTCTCTTGTGAATCCTCTCACCCTCCTGTGTATTTGGCCTGTGCCCAGATCTTGTATAAATAAATAAATCTTTAAAAGAATATAATGAAAGTAACTGATAAAGACACATAAATGTAAAAATAATCTGTCCTCTTGGATTGGAAGAACTAAAATGACCATACTACTGGAAATAATGTACAGATTCAATGCAATTCTTATCAAAATTCTAATGACTTTTTCATAGATTTGAAACAAACAATTCTAAAATTTATATGGAACCACAAAAAGTCCCAAAGAACCAAAACAGCCTTGAAAAAGAAGAACAAAACTGGAGGCATCATACTCCCTGATTTCAAGCTATATTAAAAAGCTATAATAATCAAAACAAAATGATATTGCACAAAAACAGACACACAAATCAATAGAATAGAATAGAGAACCCAGAAATAATGTAATCAATTACCACAAAGGAGTCAAGAATACTATGGGGAAAACATGCTCTCTTCAATAAATGGTTTAGGACAGCCTCATGAATAGAATGAAAAGAAACAATACCATAAACCATATGCAAAAATTAACTCAAAATGGATTAAACATTTGATGTAAAACCTGAAGTTATAAAACTTCTGGAAGAAAATATTGGTAAAAAGTTTCTGCACAGCAAAGAAGTCCTTCAACAAAATAAAAAGACAATGTACTAAATGGGAGAAACTATTTGCAAAGCATGTATCTGATCAGGGATTAGTATTCAACATGTATAAATAATTCATATATTTCAATAGAAAAAAAACAAACTATCTGATTAATAAATGAGGAGAAAACCTGAATAGACATTTTTTCCAAAGAAAACATACTATGGCCAACAAGCATATGAAAAGGTGTTCAACATCACTACAGTCATTAGGAAAATGCAAATTAAGACCTCATACTTGCATGGCTATTATCAAAAAGACAATAAATAATAGGTATTGGCAAGGATGTGGAGAGAAAGGAGCACTCACATACTGGTTTTGGAATGTACATTGGTGCTATGGAAAGTAATATAGAGGTTTCTCAAAAAATTGATAATAGAGCTACCATATGATCCAGCAATTTCCCTTCAGATGTTTATCTTAACAAAATGAAAGCACTAACTCAAAAAGATATCTACACCCCCTATACTGCAGCATTATTTACAGTAGCCAAGATATGGAAACAACCCAAGTGTCTGTCAATGGATGAATAGATAAAGAAAATGAGATATTTGTATACAATGGGATTTTATTCAGCCATAAAAATAATTGAAATCTTGCCATTTGCAACAACATTGGAAGAACCTCCGGGGCATTATGCTAAGTGAAATTAATCAAAAGGAGAAAAACAAATATATGATCTCACTTATATGTGCAATCTATTTTTAAAAACAACCAAACAAGAATGATCTTATGGATACAAAAAACAGAAGGGTAGTTGGGGTAGGTGGTGGGGGAGTTGGAAAACTAGGTGAAGAAGGTTAAAATTTACAAATATCCAGCTATAAAATCAAAAAGGTGGTAGGCAGGTTTGAACTTATAACCCTTGAAGCAGATACAAAGATGTAAACCTACTTTACTGCAATAAACATAATTCGGAAAGATTAAATTAGAAAGTCATATGGATACAATATATAGCATGGTGAGTGTGCTCCATATTTGAAAGTTGCTAAGAGAGTAAATCTTAAAAGTTTTAATCACAAGAAAAAAAACCTGTACCTATGTGTACTGACAGCTGTTAGACTTATCGTGGTGATCATTTTGCAGTAAACAGAAATGTTTAATCTTTATGTCATATACCTGAAACAAATATAATGTTATATGCCAATTATACATTAATTTAAAAGTTAATCCTTATGGGTCAGAATTGGTGGATTGGTGGAAAGCATCATTGCAGCAAGAGTGGTTGTTGTGGGAACATGAGCTACCAGCTCAGGAAACTTACTTGTGCCTTTATGGAGCCTGACACCTGTATCTACCACTTCCACTTGATGGTGGATTGACATTTCATAAATCAGCTGATGTTTTTGTGAATCAGGTAACACCCAGTTCTTGTTAAGCAGCTCTGTTGCAAGTCAGGTGATAGTTATCAAAAGAATAATTCTCTGCAGAAGAGAGAATAATTTTGCTTCAAAACTCTAGGGATCTTCACTGTTATTTTCCTATTATTGAATGCCAAAGTTTTCATGCAGTATCTCTAATTTCCACAGACACTTCAAATAACCAAGTGGCAGAGTTGCTTGAACTGCAGGTTGGGTCTGCTTCAGACTTTACTGAAAAATTAGTCTTACAGCAGGTTACTTGGTAAATGGATCACAGTAACACGAATGTGATATATACCACCCTAACAATCCAAAGGAGTCCACCGAGTGCTATGCCTCTCTGTTAATGGTAGATCCCTTAAGGTACCACTACTCATATTTCCTTTGAAGGGGATAACCAAATATCTCTACACTATTGCAATTTAGAAACTTCACTTTTGTGGTGAGCTCCACTCTCTGGTATATCATTGAAGGTACTTTCCATTTACTATCACCAGGTAAATTTAGCATGTCATCAGTGTATCAGACCAATGTGATGTTCTGTGGGATGTCAAATTGAGCAAGATCTGCAAAAGGTAGATTTTGACAGTAGAAATGCAATAGTCCATTGCAGAATGATGAAAGTATACTGTTCTCCCTACCAGTGAAAGCAAGCTGATCTGGTAGTCCTTGCATATTGCTGTAGAAAAAAATGTTTGCCTGAAGTCAAAACATTATAATTGTCACTTTGTTCACTCTCCTAGTCATAGATTTTGTTCTCACCTTGTCACTGCCGGTTAAGGTCCTTCTGGGATCTCATCACTCCCAATGAAACTAGAGAACACGTTTCAATGTTGGCATCTCTCATTCCTCATTCCTGAGTCTAAAGATGATAGCCAAGGATGAGGGTGTTTTTCGAGGATCTTGATATTCCCCTCACGAAGCCATGTTTCATGCTTAGTAAAAAGCAAATGTCCATCTAAAAAAAAAAAAAAAAAAAAAGCAAATGTCCTTTTGGGAGATAACATGAAGCTTTGGTAGTTGTGAGATATGATAGTGTATGGAAAACATTCTAACATTTTTGTTTTTTGCAATCTTTGGACTCCTTCCTTTATCATACCTGGGATGTTCTGACCACCCAACTTCATTGGATAAGACTAATCAAATCTGGGTTTCAGTCAACCAAGCATGCAAATTGTTATAGCCACTTGTCAGTTCTCAGGTTAAAACATTAAATCCACAATCTTGTCTATGTATACCCATATTGATGATCCAATATTTTTTTTTTTACTAAAGATCTATTTATGCATACAAGAACTGTGGTATAGGCCAGAGGTGTGGGGGTGGTGGTGAGAGAATTCACCAGAGACAGAATGGAGAGCAGAACAAGCAGATCTACCAAAATACACTGCTGTGGGGAGCAGCAGGTGAGACAGGAGAGGTCTGCTGTGCCATGTAGGTCAGCTCCCTACCCAGGGATCAAACTCATGTTGCAGTGGCTGGCAATAGCTTGATAGTGCTGTGTCTTTAACCCATGCGCCACCAGGGCGGTCTTGATCCAACATTTTATTTCATCTTTCTTGCTCTAAATATCTTTAGTACCGACATATATTCCACAGGGTATGTAAGCTATCTCTTGAAGTAGTCCCCATGGGGTGTACATAAAGCTCTAACTCTAGTTATGGGTTTGAAGGCAATAAGGAATGGTACGGGTGTATCTGGAAAAGAAGTATATATCTTGTAAGTCAATTCATCTTGTGACATTGCTATAGAGTCTTTGGTAAGGAAGCACAAGGATATTTGGAAATTCAAAGTGATTAGATTTGTCCAATTATACCCAAATGTCCCTGCTTTCAACATGTTCCTTCCCTGCATCACATCTTTCATATAAGAGTGGGCTCTGTATTCAACCTTTATGGAATTCTCCCCAAAGTACAAGAAATAATACTTTTAGGGCCATTCTAGAAGTCTACATATTCTCTGATTATATCATGAGCAGAGAGTTTAGAACACTAAGCTCATGTATTTTTTTTTTCCTTCAATCATTCCAACATAGACAGAAATAATGACCCCACTCCATGATTTTTATAGCTATCATTACTATAATACCAGTCAAATGCAGTAGCAACTTCTTGACCTCGAAACCTTTAATAGGCACTTTATCCCCAGTAAGCACAGATAATAATGAATAATCTAAGTATACTGTATTTCATAAATCAACAATATCATTTCTACAGCAATGAGATCTTCACTGCATTCAAGCCCAACGAAGTCAATAATAACAGATTCCATGGGATCCCTCTCAACTTTCAACTATGTATTTTGAGGTATTCGCTGGAAAACAGAGGGGGACTCAACAATGGAAACCATGGATGCCTTTGTGGTAGGAGGGGTGTGGGAACACTGAAGAAGTGTGGTCAGGGGAGAAGGGGGTAAGATCAAAACAAGGGTGGTGGGGTTGTACAGGGACTATAACCAAGATGAAAATGCATACATTGTACAACAATGAAAAATGATGTAAAAAACATACAAAATTTAAAAACAAAAAAACAAAAAAAAAGAAGTGTGGTCTGTATATTTCTGAATTTTACACAGGTTGTAAACCAATGTTACCTCAGTAAAAAAAGAAAATTCATGTTTAAAAAATGTGTTAAGAGAGGACAAAGCAAAAAGAGCTTTAAATCTAAAATTTGGTAATGGCTGAAAGCAGTCACTGCTCCTAAGCCTGGAGAAACAAAACGAAGAAGAGTAATGCTGCCACAGCCCAGAAACTTCTGCCCATCTGGAGAGCAGGGTCACCAAGAATGGAGTAGCCCAGCAGGTGCCAGGACTGTGGGGAAGGGTTCCTGGTGGCTAGTGTTGAAATTGCAGTCATTTACAAAGATCCTGTAAAAAAGCAAAAGAGAGTGAATGGTCAAGGTCAAGATAGCAGGAGGGAGGAAAAGAAAGAGGAAGAGGGAGAGGAGGCAAGAGAAAAGGAAGAGCCTTCCCTTCTTCACACTTTCTGATATTCCATAACACCTGTCATTGGAAGAATTTATGGGAAATAAGAAGTCAAAGGAATTTAGGAAAGTTTGAAGACTCTAAGACGAGGATTTCCGAGCAGAATACAGAAGGGTAAAATGGGGCTGAGCGACAACAGTAAATACTTACCCTGTACCAATTGCCCCCACACCATTTACTGAAGCCTGCATTTTCCCTACTGCTCTGTAGTCTTACACCAACTTTTCGTATATGTGGGTTTGTTCTAGGGTATCTCTAGGGTATCTAGGGAGCTCTGGGAGTCCATCTACTCACCCTGATGCAGCACTTTACTGTATTGCTCGCTACTATTCATTTTACTTTTTTTTTTTTGGTCAGATATCTCAATATCTAACTTTGTAAGCCACCCCATGGCTCTTTGAAGAAGAGCTATGACCTTCTTCAAAAGTATTTCGTTCATTCTTGAGTCTTTGAATCTCTTTATCCATTGTAGAACAAACTCCTCAGATTCCACAAAACAATATCTGGTTGGATTCAGACTGAAATGACATGAAATCTACTGATTTTCGTAGATTTGATATCTTTACAATATTGTCTTTCCAATCACAAGCATGGTAACTCTCTATAAAGCTTTATTTAATGTTTAGCAATAAAGATAAAATTTTAAACAAGAAGTTTATTTAAACAACAAACCCTTCACTCTAAGGGAAAACTATCTAGGAGTCATTTCTTATAGAGTAATTTACCCCTACATAAAGGCACATTACGTGTAACGTCTACCTACAAAAAAGTTATAAAATTGCTTTGGGTTTTACAATGGCAAATGAAAAACATTAAATCTCTGATCGTACAAGCCATGTAAGAAATTTTATGCTGTTCTTTTTTATTTGTTTGTTTTGTTAACCATTGAGAGCAAAATAACTTACTAGAACATAAAGATAAGAATTTAAGGAGCATCCCCCTCTTGGTGAAGGGAGTCTTTTCAGAGAACCAGTATTTTTCCCCCATCCCATCTCCATTTGAGGGTATCAAAACATACCACTGGCCACTTAGTTTAAAAAAAAAAAAAGATACCCTAGAGATACCCTAGACCAGACCCACATACAGGAAAAGTTGGTACAGCACTACAGAGCAGTAGGGAAAATGCAGTTGTCGCCACACCATTTACCGAAGCCTGCTTGAGCACATCCACCAGTTACCTTGTGAACAATAAATGACAGAGAAAACTGTTGTAGTTGTGAGGATGTGGTGGACGCAAATTGCGGTTTTCTAATTGAGGATGTCTTCTGGGTCTGGAGGAACGGAGTCCTGGAGTCCAGTGGCTGGAAAGCACCTTCTGGCTGCTGCGCAAGCACATCAATTGTCCTCCAACTCTTCCGCGGTGCCTTTCTGCTTCATTGATTGGTTGCCAGGTCAAGCGAGAGCCTGATCTGTCTCATTGACAAGCCTTGTCGCCCACAAGAGGCTTTTACTAGTTTATTAAGCGGAATTTGCCTCTTATTTTTCCCCCTAGTTAAATAATGACTTTATTGCTTGAATACACAGACAAATCTTTGCAACTAGGAGAGAGGCCTGTGGGTGACTCCTATTTCCATTTGGGAGGGAGGACCCCTCTGGGTTTGTAATAGCGTAGCGTGCCATCCCGTGAGTACAGAGTGAGACAGAATTTTTTTTTTAAGATTTGTTTATTTATGCATACAAGAGCTGGGGTACAGGCCAGAGGTGTGGGAAGTGAGAGGATTCACCAGAGACAGAGTGGGGAACAGAACAGGCAGACTGACCGAAGTACACTGCTGAGGGGAGCAGCGGGCGAGTCAGGAGAGGTCTGCCGCGCCATGCGGTTAGCTCCCTGGCCGGCCAAGGGATAGAACTCGTGCTGCAGAGGCTGCGGACACCTTCATAAGTTGCGTTTTAACTCATTACGCCACCAGGGAGTCCCCAAATTTAGTATCCTTATCCTTTCCGTTCTTCTCAACATGCTTTTGAACAGCAACACCTTTCTTAATTAAATGATGGCGAGCCTCAGGAAGATCAGAAGCAAGTGTCTTGGACTTAAAGAATTCAAAAGATTGCATGGCCTGTCACAAAACGAACTTGCGCAACACCATGTGAGTCTCTCACGATCACATAGATCTGGGAGGGAGTCAGGCCCTTCTTGGCCAGTTTGTAGATCTGCTTCCTCACGTCCTCAGAAGTCATTTTTGGCCAGGTGGGGACACGGAGGCGCTGGCGCAGAGCGACTGCCCAGGGTAAGGCCTCCCTGGGAGCTTGCAAGCGCCCCTGATGGCAGTGCACCAGAGAACCAGCCTGAGCAGCCACCTTCAAATGAATATGACGTTCCTTGTTCTCAGTCTTGACTTCCTTCAAGGCTTTCCTCTCCAAGGCAAGCGCTAGTCTCCATAGCGCTGCTTCACAGAAGAGATGCAGTCTTACACGTCAGTCCTTTGTTTATACCTCAGTACTTAAGGTGCCTTGATGCTAATTTTTAAAATATCATTAGAAACATTTGTAAATTTTCATTATCTGTTTATTGCTGTAGAAGCAGAATTGAGATTTATATTACTTTTCATATTCAGGAACTAAGTGAAATCACTTAATGCTAAGAGTTTATACTTTTTTGAATTTCTACACGCACACACTCATCATTGGAGAAAAACCATAATTTTGTTTCTTCCCTTTTGATTCTTAAATCTTTTAGTTTTTTATCTTGCCTTACACTGACTGAGATTTCTTATACATTGCTGAGAAAATTATTTCTTGATATGAAAGGCAAATTTTCCTGTTTAAATTGGAATGTATTTGACATAACATTGCATAAACTTACAGGATACAGCAGTTGACACAGTGCATTTATATATTGTGATCTGATTATAATTGTACCTTAACACTTCTATCATGTCATATAATTATCATTTCTTTATTGTGGTGGGAATAATTAAGTTTTAGTCTCTGCAAGTTTGATGATTATAGTACAATATTGTCACTTATATTTACATACTCACTGTGCATTAGAATTTCAGCACTTATTCCTGTTTGCTGTTAAGTACGAAGTTCATTTTTAGTTTTGTAAATATCCTTTACTATTTAAAAAGATTCCTTCCATTCTTATTTTGCTGAGATTTTATTTAATCATGAAAAGATGTTGAATTTTATCAAAATTTTTGCACACATATGAGATGTTCGTATAATAATCTCTCTAATGTGCTTATTTTAGGATTACTGAATGTATTATCCCTTTTGTTAACCTCTCTTTAGCAATATGTTACATATTGCTAACTTCTGTTTGCTAATATTTGTCGAAGCTTCTCACACCTGTATTCTTGAGTAAAATTGGGCTGTACCTTTGCATTCTATCACATTTTGGTAGTAAGTCAAAATGGCTAAGTTAGTAAGAAGTATTCCTTACTGTTTTCCTCCCTGATAATCAAATTGTGAAGAGTTGAATTTATTTTCTTCATTCAATGTTTTGGTGGAATGCACTGGAGAAACCAACTGAACTTGTCATTTTCTTTGAAGAAAAAGTATTAAAAGAATATGTGTTGTTCATTGTTTTTAATTAATGGTAATATGATTTTTCAGATTTAAATTATTTTTTCTAGGCCAACATTGGCAAGTTAGATTTTTCTAGGAATTTGTTCACTTTACTTAAAATTTTTGGTATACAGTTGTCAATATGCCTCTATTTTTTTAATGCTGAGGCATTAAAAGCATGGTTTAATTTTTATTTCTAATACTAAATATTTATAACTTCTTTTCATTAATTTTGCCAGAGGTTTCTCAGTTTTACTAGATTTGAAAAAAAAAAAAACTGACCATTTAAGTTCTTCTCTGATCTTTATCATTTTCCCCATCTACTTTTGTTAGGTTTCATTTTGCTGATTTTTTTGTAACCTCTTGAGACATGTTCTTAACTCACTTATTTTTGGTCAAATTTTCTACTTGGACAATATGAGAACCTTAGAACATTTCTAGCATACATGTTTATGACTATATGTAATTAACCATGATAGACTGTACAAGGTTTTGTTTTATTAATTCAGTTAGAATTATGTTCATATTTCCATTGTCACTTTTTCTTTGATCCATGAGTTAATATTTCACTATGATAGTTGAGGTGTCTTTCTGTTTATAAATTTCTTCATTTGTGCTTTTATATTGTAATACTGTATACTATTACATGTCTACAAATTTTAGAATTATTGTATCTTCCTGATGCATTGAATCTTTTGCCATAATTAAATGTCTCTTGCTTTAAAGTTTATATTACAGGGCCTCCCCTGGTGGTGCAGAGATTGACCGCTGGGCTTCGAAGCTGCCCGCGGCCTCTGCAGCGCCAGTTGGATCCCCGGCCACTGGAGAAGGTCCCATATGGCAGGACAGACCTCCCCTGCTGTCCGCTGCTCCCCTCAGCAGAGTATTTTGTCAGTCTGCCTGTTCTGCTCCCCGCTCTGGCTCTGGTGAATTCTCTCACCCTCCTGCGCTTCTGACCATACCCAGTGTTTGTATAAATAAATAAATAAATCTTTAAAAAATAGGGTTTATATTACATATTAAATAAGGTAGTTTTACATTATATTATTACTAGCCACTTCAGATTTTTTTGGGGGGAGGGTTACTATTTGCATAATATATCTTTTTTATTTTACTTTTAGTTATTCTATAGATTTACATTTTTTAAATAAATTTTATTTTTATATTCCCCATACAATTGCAACCCCCTTATTTTGACCCCAATCCCTCCCCTCCCCGCCCCCTACCCCCCACCCCCAGAGTGTCTCTGGTTCATAGTTTTTTGTTGATTTTGATTTTCACTTTCTTATTGTTATTCACTTTCCTGGTCCCTTATTTAAGTTTTCTAGATTCCTACATTTTTTATGTTTCTTTAACAGCATATAGTTGGACTTTTAAAATCCAGTTTATTTTGGGCCTCCCCGGTGGCGCAGCGGTTGAGCGCTGGGTTGCGAAGCTGCCCGCAGCCTCTGCAGCCCCGGTTCGATCCCCGGCTGCTCCCTGGCCACCAGAGGAGGGTCCCACATGGCGCTCAGACCCCTTCTGCCGCCCGCTGCTCCCCTCAGCAGTGTACTTCAGTCCTTCTGCCTGCTCTGCTCCCCGCTCTGGCTCTGGTGAAGTCTCTCATCCTCCCGCACTTCTGACTGTACCCAGTGCTTGTATAAATAAATAAATAAATAAATCTTTAAAAAAAATAAATAAATAAAATAAAATCCAGTTTATTTTAATGAAAATATTAACTTTATATTTACCTCTTTTAATAAAGTACATTTAATATGATTCCTGATCTATTTAGATTTTAATCTAATATTTTATTTTATGTTCAAAAGTACCCTATCTCTTGTTTCTTTTTTTAATTTTTTGCTTTCCCCTATCCCTTCCCTTTCCCCTCCTCTATACCTTTTTAATCAGAGGCGATATCTGAGTATTTTAAAAAATTATTCCCTTTTACTATTCTAAGAGTTTGTACATCATATGCTCTGACTCTATTCATTAATGGTAATTCTGGAAATCAAAATGTGTTATCAATTTATCAAATTTTAAAGTTAATCAAAATCTTTACCCTCGATTTGGACCTCACAAGAACCTTAATAACACTTCAACTTTATTTACTCGTTCTTTATACATTGTCATAACCTAATATTTGTCCTTTTTTAAACTATTGTAGACTTTATTTTTAGTGCTTTATAAATATACTTCATTTATATTTATCCAAATATTAATCATTTTCTTTCTTTTCCATTTCTTCTTGTAACTCTGAACTTGCATTTGTGATTACTTAGCTTTTCTGCATGATGTATGTGATTTTTCATTTTTTCAGTCAGGGCTCTTAGTAATAAACCCTATTGGGTTTTATTTATAAATGTCCTCATTCCACCCTTATCATGTTTTTGCAGGGCATACTCTCCTAGGGTAGCTGTTACTTTCTCCCATCAAATAAAAACATTATTCCATATTCCATTGTTTCTAACTTCTAGAAAGTTTATCTTTTTATCTTTTTCTTTTTTTAGTTTTATTTAAATTCATAAAGATGTATTTGTTGTGGATTTTTTTCCCTCTCACCCCCTGCACCTCTGGCCTACATCCAAGTTTTTGTATGCATAAATAAATAAAAATGAATCTTTTAAAAAAATAAAACTACATTAAGACCTTTCTCACCTATCAGCTTAACAAAAACATTCCAAATCTGAATAATCCACTTTGAAGATTTATTTTATTTCTTTTTGCATACAAGAGCTAGGGTGTTTAGGCCAGAGTTGTGGGGAGAGGGTAGGCGAAGATGAGAGGATTCACCAGAGACAGAATAGGGAGCAGAACAGGTAGAACAGGTGGATTGACTGAAATACACTGCTGAGGGGAGCAGTAGGCTAGACAGGAGAGGTCTGCTGCACTATATGGGTTAGCTCCCTGGCTGGGAATCAAACTCATGCTGCAGTGGCTGCTGATAGTTTATAGTGCTGAGACTTACCCCCTTGTGCTACTATTGAGGTCCTGAATAACCTCACTTTGTTGTTCAAGGTTGACGGTAAACACACATTGATATACAGAACTTCTCAAGGTAAATTCACTAATACCTAATAAAATAATATACATATTTAATATTTGACTTGGCAATTCCACTTCTAGTAAATTACCCTAAAGATACAACTCCAGGGCCTCCCTGGTGGCACAACGGGTTAAGCACAGCACTATTAAGTTATCTGTAGTCTCTGCAGCACAAGTTCAATCCCTGACCAGCCAGGGAGCTACCCACATGGCACAGCAGACCTCTCCTGTCTCTCCCGCTGCTTTCCTCAGCAGTGTTTTCAGTCAATCTGCCTGTTCTCCTCCCTATTCTGTCTCTGGTGAATCCTCTCACCCTTCCACACCTCTGGCCTGTACTCCAGTTCTTGTATGCATAAATAAATAAATCTTGAAAAAAAAAATAAAGATACAGCTCCAGATACAAACAACAACAAAATCCATATGCACAAGGTTTTTCATTATGGTATTATTTGTAATAGAAAAACAAATATATACTAATCCTAAAGTTTAATAAAAAAAGAAGCAAATAAACCTCATTGAATATGAAAGTGGCCACGGAATCACACAGGAAATAATAATTCAAGCAACTTTTACACATAATATTCTAACAATACACACTTCTTGCATAAAGACTAAAAGCACTAAAAAGAGATTTTAAGCTTTTCTTAATGAGTCTGTTCTTCATAATGTTTATAGTGTAATAAATTCAATATTATATTGTGTTTGTGAGGGAAGTATAAATATGCAAGGAGGAAGATGAAGAACAACCCTTGATATTGGATTTTATTTTATTTTTAAATTTTTTAAGATTTATTTATTTATGCATACAATAGCTGGGGTGCAGGCAAGAGATGCGGGGGGTGAGAGAATTCATCACAGAGTGGGGAACAGAACAGGCAGACTGACTGACTGAAATACACTGCTGAGGGGAGCAGCGGGCGAAACAGCAGAGGTCTGCTGCGCCATTTCTCTCTGGCTGGCCGGGGATCAAACCTGTGCTGCAGAGGCTGCAGATTGCTTCGTAGTGCTGTGCTTAACCCCTTGCGCCACCAGGGAGGCCCCCTGGATATTGGATTTTAATTGATGTTTTCGGTGTAAAGTCCTGATTTTTAAGAGATCTAGAAAGACTGACACCCTAGTAGCAATAATCAAATATGGTACCTCGGTCAGGGTTTCTAACTACTACTTCTTACTAAAAGATACCAGGATCTTTGGAGAATGGTCAGGGCCAGGTTTGGAGTGGGAAGTTATTAAATGAACCTGGAACATCTTGTATCCCAAAGTAAAGTGTTTCAAAAATGATAGGAACCTATAAGACACAGGACCCAACTTGAAGATCTCAATAGCCAAAGTTGATATAACCTGAGCATCAAAAAAATAGTTATAGTAGTAGAGTATAATATCTCTTAATTAAAAATAGAAAAGGAAAAAGGAGCAGGCTTTGGTTCTATCTTTGAGAATGGATAAGGTGTAGGTATATAGAGAAGGGAATTTTGTCAGTATGAACAGAACAAGGAACTGATAAAAAGGAGAGGGGGTTTAGGGCCTCCCTGGTAGCACAAGGGGTTAAATCTCAGCACTATGAAGCTATCAGCAGCTACTGCAGTAAGAGTTCGATCCCTGGCTGGCCAGGCGCTACCCACATGGTGCAGCAGACCTCTCCTGTCTCGCTTGCTGCTCCCCTCAGCAGTGTATTTCAGTCAGTCTACTTGTTCTGTTCCCCACTCTGTCTCTGGGGAATCCTCTCACCCCCTGCACCTCTGGCCTGCACACCAGATCTTGTATGCATAAATAAATAAACCTTTAAAAAAAAAAGGGGGGAGACATGATTCAGGATATGGGTGTGGAAATACACTGGTATAGCTAGAGTGGCAGGTTCTCGTGGGAATGGGTGAGTATAAGATTCGGTCGTTTGAGGCTATGAAAGCCAGTTTGGAGATTGAACTTTGAGTCTAAAAGCAGTGGAGAGCCTTTTGAGTAGAGGTGTTATAAAAGGAAATGATAAAATAGGTATCTTGGGAAGGAGAATCTGGCAGCTTGGATGGATAACAGGAGGAATAACAGGCTAGGAAATGAGTGAGGGGGTCATTGTCAGGGTGAGGTGCAGGGACCTGCAGTAAGACTGGGTACAGATCGGGAATAAAAATAGTGGAAATTTAGGGAAGATGCCAGGGGGTGAGTAGACAGAACTTCTTTGAGTAAAGATGAGGGAAAGACAGTAACTGAGTTGCTGTGCTGAAGAGAGGCGGATGATGAGCCGAGCTAAACACGAAGGGCAGAGAATGGGTTCTTGATATCGTTTGAACTGGTTTTGAATTGGCTGATGGTGAGCCAGTGGCATTTAGATGCTTACAAACCTCAAAAAGGTCAAGGGAGTGTTGCACTCTGGGGACTCTGTTGCTCATGCTTCTCCAATTTGAGCTCTCACAGACCTCAGGCAAAGAAGGGCTTCAGTGTTTTCCTGAAGCTTCTACCAAGGCTTGCTTGTCATAAGAGTTTATGATGTTCCACAGACAATGTCCAGAATTTTCTGCTCCTGAAACCCAGTGGGCTACTCTGAGTAGCGTCAGTCCTGATTGGTCAGAACAGAATTTTCAAGCCACAACTCAGGGGAGGACTTGCATGGATGGGATTTCTCTTGCACTCCAGCAGTGAAGCTTGACTGAAGGGCCTCTGTGGTTTGTGGCTGTCTGATTTCATCAGGGTGTGGCTGCCCTCTCTGCCCGCCCGGCTCTTGCCTGGCTAGAGGAGGCCAGTCCTGAGCTCCCATAGCGAGCAGTTTCCCAGGCAGCCTTCCTCCCCCGCACTCTTGGCATTCATATGACATGGCTATAAATTATGCCCAGCGTGTTCATTTTCAGTTTAAATGTGTTCTCATCCCAGAGGAGCAACTAATGGCGTCAAGTTACTGATGTGAAAAAGGCCTGCCGCTACAATGACTATGGATTAATGAAATAGCAGTCATGGAGGCTGGGGCAGCAATAAATCGTCAGTCACTGGTGACTTGGATTTTAAATTATGTTCTCCATCCCCTCCCCCTTCTCCAAAATTTTTTCTGCTGTAAAGTTGTTCAGTAAATGTTTACCATGGCTTAAATGTTTGCTTTCTATTGAAAGTTGATGCAAGCAGGAAAACCCTTCCTCTTCAGGGTGGTTTTCTCCAGAAAACCAGAAGCCAGCTGAGAGGGATTTAAGTCTATCATGCTTTTCTCTAGGAGGTGTGAAGGCAAATATCTTAATCCAGGCATCATCACTGACTGTTAAATTTCATTCAGAAAATTGGCACACGCAGGGTGAACTCGCTCCATGGACAGAGTTCTGTCCCCACCTTCTGTTACGCTTCCCCACCCCCCACCAATGAATTTAAAATGAGAAACCAATACAATTCCCACCAGAGTTTCTGAAATGTAGCATCTATTTTTTATTAGATGAAGGGCCCCAGAGAATCCACTGATAGGTCATAGGGAGTTCACAAATCCCTGAGCCTAAAAGCAAATTGCTCATATGTTCATGTTTTTCTATAAAGGTCTATGGATTTCATCCAATTCGCTAAATGTTCTTTAGACCTAAATAGCTTAAGCCCTCATGCTCTGCTGCTCAGGTGGAGGGGCCACTGTGACACTAGGACTTGGGATAAAACTTCTTGGGTTGGAGGAGTATTTGGAAATGGATAACAAACTCACATCTCATTTCTGACAGAGTAAAGACAACATCTGAAAATTCTGCTTCTTGTCAAAAAGGATATCAAGTTTTTGTTCTGAAACAAATGTGAAAAACATTGATTTTTATCTAGTTATCTTTGTATATAGCCAAGGAAAAAGCTTTAAGTTATTCTGTTGTGCATTTAATAGGATTATCACTTTCAATTTTGAGATCTTGAACATTAGAGTCACCAATTAGTAAGCAAAGAAAGAAACTGCTAGATGGCATTTTCAAACAAATTTTCGTGTTTATTACAACGGTGCTTCTCTACAACTAATGATTCTTGTGGTTTGCAAACCATACATCTGCCTTTATTACCTGCACAAACATAGAATAGCATTTCCAAAGGGGGGGGGGTTTCACACAGCAAACAAAGCATACAGTGTGCGACCTCAGTAAGGCATTCAATAAAGGTGTGAGCCCTCTTCCATCCACTGGGTTCCCTTAGGATGCTCTGATGTTGGCATCACATTCTTCTAAGAGCAGAATCAAGTCTTCAATCAGGCTGTGCTCTCTGCCATGTGTCACTCTCATAATATCAAAAGCCTAAAGAGAAAGGAAAGAAGACTGACTGGATGTCAAAGTAGAAGGGCCCCGTCCCTCCTCATCTCTTCCCCATGAGTCTATGGGTCTGGAGACACCACAGGTCTGCAGTGTGAGCAGCACTATCATTCTCTAACCCAGAATGTGAAGTGACCACGGTGACTATTTAACGTGGTGTTGAGAAAGCAGACTCACCACTCAATTCACACCACAGCTTGAAACCCAACAGTGATCTTCAAAGATTGTTAGTACATAGGCTTGGAGAATAATTACCGAGGTTTACAAAGAACTACTGAAATGATTCAGTAATGTTAAGGACAAAATACCATGTTGCTACCACCTTAAAATATATTTTCACTTTTATATACTGCATTCAATTATTAGCTATAGGCAATGGGCACATATTTTTGTATTCATTTCATGTCATATGATATTACAGCATCAATATTTTAAGACTCCTTTCATTTTCCATTTCAAGTCCATTACTAAATCTTTTATGTTTAATAAGGTTTTTAAAAAACTCCCTGCAAGCATTAGGATTTTGAGCCCCCCATTATCCCTTATATCCCCTTGTCCCTTTCCTTCCCCCTCCTTCTTAACCTATGCACACTCAGGATGCTTACTGGTGTCCACTGGCTCTTGAAAGTGTTTTATGTTACTGAACCATCTGTTATGTAGATGTCTCCATATTTCTTTTTATAGTTTTGACTGACTTATTACATATAATTCTCTTAAATTCCTTCCATTTTGTTGAAATTGGTTGCATTTCATCCTTTCTCATGGCTATATAGTACTCCATAGCATATATCACATCTCCTTGATGCATCATTAGTTGGTGGGTACTGAGGCTGCTTCCACATCCTAGCTGTTGTATGCAGTGCTACTATAACCACTATGGAACATATGGAGTTGTATGTTGATGGTTTCATATTCTTTGGATAGAGGCCCAAGATTTCTGGGTTATAAGGTATTTCCATTTTCAGTTTATTAAGGTAATTCCAGATTGCACTTGTAATGGCTGCACCAGTTTACATTCCCACAACAGTGCAATAGGGTCCCTCTTTCTCTGCATCCTCTCCAACAATGCTGTTGGTGCTCTTTTTAATATGGACCATTCTCACAGGTGTGCGACAGCATCTCATTGTGATTTCAACCTCCATTTCTCTTATTAGAAGGGACAATAAACATTTTTTCATATGTTTTTAGACCCTCTAGACAGCCCCTTCAGTGAACTGTCTGTTCATATCTGCTGCCCATTTATTAATTGGGTTTTTTTTAATTGTTGAACTAAATGGGTTTTTAGATATCTTGGATATTAATCCCTTATCAGTTATATATTGTGTAACTATTTTCTCCCATTCAATAGGGTTCTTTTTAATAAGTCTTTATTTTCTTTTGCTGTATAAGAAGCTCTATTGCTGTATAGAGGCTACTCAAGGAAGAGGAAGGTGAGGGGTGAGGAGCAAATTCAGAAGTCACCCAATTTTGTAGGGTGGAGCTTATAGGTACTTTGATGATGAGTGTGGTTTGGTAACATATATCCAAAGAGGTTCGAGCTTATACCCCTAAATCATATACTGTGTTGTAACCCAGTGTTGCCTCAATTAAAAAGTGTTACAAAAGCAAAAAAGAAGAGATCTAATCCTTAAGGACCAACATTAATTGCACTGATCCAGAGTCTCCCTGTTCATCAAGGGGGCAGACCCGTTTTTCCCAGCAGCCTTGCCGTCATTCTGGAATTATTGAACCACAGGCAGGGAGTGAAGCTGCCTGGCCTGCCCCAGTTCTCACTCCATCCCTCTCATCTGCTCCTTATGGAACGGCATGAAGACCTCCTGGTCCGGCATCCTCTTGTCTGGACTGCGGGGTAGGCTCAGAGTAATACCTGGCTCTCAGCACTCAGTCCCTGCTCATTCGAGGACTGTGCTGTGTAGCCTCCACCAGTAAAGAGTGGAGCGACTGAGCGACTGAGGTGGGGTGCCAGGGAATCCTCTAGCCCTATCCGGGCTTATGAGACATGCAGAGGGGTGACAGGGTCTTCTTCCTCATTCAAGATTCTGTGGGTGGCATCTGCGCTCGGCAGTGACTGCAGCACTGGAGCAAGACGGGGCGGTGGGCGAGCTGTGGGTGTGGATGCTAAGATCTGAGATAGTAAGATTAGAGGGTCTTATCCACAGAGGTGGCTAGAAGCAGAGGAAATGAGTATAGCTGGGGACGAGGATCAATTTAAATATACTGAAAAAATATCCCCATCATTTGTCTGGAAAGTAAAATCAAATATAAATATGATGAACAAGTGAACACTGCAATTTCCTCAGAGTGATGGGCAGGGCAGAAGAGAAAAGGAGAGAAAGAACAGAAGAAAGAGGTAGAATTCAGTATGTGCAAAATATATCAGTGGCTGGTGTGTGTGTGTGAGTGTGTGTGTGTAACAATGTGTCAAGTTGTGTGGATGGAAGCTGGAAACTCACACTTGATCCTTATCCTGCACATCTCCCAGGCCTACTGGTGCGCTGCGGCAACAGTGCTGTGACATAAAAGAGCCTCGTGGCCATAGGTTCTGCCTGGCTCTGCATGGCAGCCATTGCTTCCAACCCATAAGAAGAGGAGGGCTATTTCCCCCACAAAATAAAGTTATATTAAGTTTCTGACAAACCAGAGCAATTGTTTCCTATAGCTCTATGGCTCCCTCCCGCCAGCCCCTCCTCACTGCCATGCATGCGTATGTCAGAGAGGACAGTCTTGGTTTAATTTCCTACAGCAATATATGAAACAGATTAAGGAAATATAAAATTGGAGTCAGCTTGTGCTGGGAAAAGCTTATCTCTTTCCATTAAATTTTATTTTTTTTAATGGTAGCATTTAAAAAGAGCCTGCACATAATCTTCCATAGAGGACTCATTGGAAGTCACCAAGGGGGAGGGATTGCTTCACCCAGGTACTGATGCTAAATGTCACATGAGAAATGGCAGCAACAGATTGTCTGCCACTCAGGAATAAAGATGGGGTCCCCAGAACTGATTTCAATCTCATGTCATTTTTTAAGTAACTTCAGAAGTGTGGCTATATATTAAATAAGATGAATTAAATCAAATTATGATTTCAAGTTGCAAACAATATAGCTTTCTTATTAATTTTTAATATAAAATTATTAAGCTTATCAAGAATCTCATACACTCCTTACCCTGAGCCTGAGGGAATCTAATAAGTGGCTTCCCCAAGCATGATTTAAATATGGATATAAAATTCAGAGAGAAAAGAAATATATGCATGATAACCTCTGGAAGTAAATCACAACAGGGGAAAATGCACACAAGTTTTCTTATTCTGCACAGCTCAGGCTGAAAACAGAGTGGAGGAGGGGAAGTGGACAGAGAAGGGGGCAAGGAACCCAAAGCTGGAAAGGCAAGAAGCAATATCTCCAATATATTAGGCAGCTTTAGAGCCACAAAAGCACTTTACAGTGGGCAACAGAAAATCCCAAAACCTTTGATGACCCTCCTGAGCTCAGCAGCGTCCCTGCTGACTCTGCTCTACTCTAAACCTTGAATAAGTCAAAGTGTAGGATCCGCTAGAAGGACCCATCCTCCTGGGAGGTAAAATTTCCTTAAAGGAAACAACTATCCATTCATTCATTAAATATTGTCTAAGCAGCTACAATTAGTTAAGACCTGGTCTTCACTTTGAGATGAGCTCTGGCATCATCAGGGAGACAGAATTAAGGTGCTGGGTTGCCCAGAGGAGGGTGGGACTGGGGCAGACGAGGGCCCCTGGGGAGGAGTTACAGAAGCGATGAGATCAAGTCTGCTTTCCAGGGGCATTAGTGACTCCAGAAAAAGAGCTGCAGTTGTGTCCTACCTCTGATCAGTCAACGAATCCAGTGAATATTTATCAAGCACCTAAGAGACTCTTAGGACATCACATCTCCTTTCCTGAGTCTCAGTTTTCTTAACTAAAGAGGAGATTGGGGGCCTCCCTGGTGGCGCAAGGGATTAAGCACAGCACTATAAAGCAATCCGCAGCCTCTGCAGCGTGAGGTTGATCCCCCGCCTGTGGCACAGCAGACCTCTCCTGTCTCCCCAGCTGCTCCCCTCTGCAGTGTCTTTCAGTCAATACACCTGTTCTGCTCCCCACTCTGTCTCTGGTGAATCCTCTCACCTCTCCCCCCACCCTCCACCTTTGGCCTCTACCCCAGTTCTTGAATGCATAAATAAATAAATCTTTAAAAAAATAAATAAAGAGGAGATTGGACTAGATGAATTCTATGCGAAAACCATGTTTGTTCCATACACATTTAAGGTTGCTGGATACTCTTCCTACTTTTTTTGTTCATCATATAACATTCCTCTCTGTCTTTAGTAAAATTTTCTTTGCTCTAAAGTCTACTTAACTGATGCTATTGCCACTCAAGCTTTCTTTGGGTTAATGGTGTTTTTATACCTAAATAATTATATTTAAACTGAGTTTCTTGTAGGTAGCAAGCATTAGTTGGGTTATTTTTTTAAAGTCCATCTAGTAACCTATCATAAATTGGATGTTTGGACAACTTTCATTTTTTTTAAATAACACATAGTTAATGTGGTTACTGATGTATTAGGGTTTGTTGAGTTATTTTACTTTTTGTTTTTTGTTTATTCTGTTATTTGTTTCTATTTTATTTTTCCTGCATCTCTTGTGAATTACTTAAGCTTTTTTAAGAATTCCATTCGGTGGTGTTTTTGAGTATAATCCTTTGTATGACTTTCATTTGTAAGTACAGACTTACCACCCTCTACTCGTGTGGTCATTTTACCAGTTCAGGAACCCTTTCCCCCAGTTATGTCCCTTACCCTGGGCTGAATGGAATATTATTAACCTAAATGTTTCTACTCTATACATTTAGAACACATTAGACAGTATTATAATATTTGCTATAACAGTCAAACAATCTAGAAATTTCACAGGCAAATGAAAGTCTGTTTTATCCATAATTTTGTTATCATGTTCTTTCCTCCTTATTGATGTGCCAAGATTCCTTTTTTTAAAAAAAAATTTTTATTTTGAACTATTTTGGTTCAGAGACATCCTGCAGCTATCTCTCTAGACTACATCTACTTGTGACAAGTTCTCTTAGTTTCCTTTCATATGAGAATGTCTTGATTTCCCTTTCATTCTTCTTTTTTAATTTTATTTTTATATTCCCCATACAATTGCAACCCCCTTATTTTGACCCCAATCCCTCCTTTCTCCACCCCCACCCCATAGTGTGTCTCTGGTTCATAGTTGTCTGTTGATTTTGATTTTTTCTTTCCTATAGTTATTCTTCTTCCTGGTCCCTTATTAGGTTTTCTAGATTCCTGCTATGAGTGAGACCATCTGGTATTTTTCTTTTTCTTTCTGGCTTATTTCGCTGAGCATGATCCCTTCCAGCGCCATCTATGTTGCTGCAAATTGCATGTGTTTATCTTTTTTGAATGCTGAGTAATATTCCATGGTGTATATGGACCACATTTTCTTGATCCAGTCATCTATTTTTGCTGTATAAATAAAAACTGATACATCAACAACTCTTTTCTATCATTGGGAAAAAAAAAAAAGTTGTGCCCCTTTCATCTAATCTTCATGGTTTGTGATAAGAACACTGCTACAATTTGAATTGTTTTTCTCCTATAAGCAAGGCATCAGCATACTCTTGCTGCTTGTAAGACATTTTCTCTGTCTTTCATTTTCAGAAGTTTGATGACAATGAGTCTGAGTGTGGGTCCCCTTCACCCCTGTTTTGGGATTTACTTGGCTTCTTGAATCTGCAGGTATTTATGATTTTTGCAAAATCTGGGGAGTTTTCCATTATTATTTCTTTTTTGAATTATATTTTATTGTGGTAACTTATACATAACATTATAAAATTTACCATTTTAAACACTTAAAGTTTAGCAGCATTGCATTCATTCATATTGTCATGTAACCATCACCACTTTTCATATCCAGAGATTCTGCATCCATCCCAAATTGAAAGTGGCCCCACTGCTCACCTATATACTCTCTCTCCAGGCTCTGGTGACCACCATTCTATTTTCTGTCTTCTATCTATTTCCTGAGTTACATCGTGTAAGTGGAACAATACAATTTTTGTTCCTGTGTGGCTGGATTTCTTCTGTTAATGTAATGTTTTAAAAGTTCAAATATATGATCACCTGTGTCAGAAATTATTTCCTTCTCAAGGCTGAATAATATTCCATTATTATAGCCCAATAAATAGCCCAAATTTTGTTTGTCTAGTCATCTGTTCATGAATTGCCAAATTGTTCCCATTCTTTGGCTATCGTGAACAATGCTGCTCTGACCACTGGTCAGGTGCCTGCTTTCATTTCTTCTGTGTACATACACAGAGGTGGATTTGCTGATCAAATAGTAATTCTATGCTTTGTTGTTTTTGTGTTTGGTAGGGGACTACCACACTATTTTTCTACAGTGGCTGCATCATTTTGCATTCCTCTTAGTAGTTCAGAAGGGTTCCAATTTCTCCATGCCCACCAACACTGTTGATAATAGCCATTGAATGGGTGAGAAGTAATATTTCATTGTGGTTTTGATTTCCTAACAATTAGTGATGTTAAGTATCATTTATGTGCTTTTTTTTGCCAGTTGTATATCTTCTCTTTTAAATGTCCACTGAAGTCCTTTGGCCGTCTTTTAACTGCTTTTTGCTGCATCTGTATATACATTTAGATAGTAATCCCTTATCAGATATGTGACTTGCAAATATTTTGTCCCATTTTACTCTATTGAGAGTGTCCTTGCATGTATAAAAGGTTTAAATTTTGATGAAGTCCAATCTGCCTATATTTTTCTTTCATTGCCAGTTCCTTTGGGGTCATATGAAAAAAATCACTGCCAAATCCAATGTCCTGAGTTTGTTCCTCTATATTCTCATGTAAGATTTTTGTATAGTTTAGCACCTCTATTTAGGTTTTTAATTCATGAGTTACTTTTTAGAAATACATGATACAGAAGGGTGCTTAAAAAACTAAAGCAGCATTGGTTGAAGAGACAGTTCCCTATTTCATCTCTTTGGTCTTTTTTTTTTTTTGTGAATGGGTGCAACACTGGAGTGTTTTGATTATTTGATCTACATGACAACATAGAATGATGAATTCCAATGTACAATTACAATAAAGCAGGTTCATACATAGCATCTAGTTTTTACAGCTACCTTTAACTGCTGTTTGTTTTCCTAAGTTATTTGCCTATTAAGAAATACATCCTTCATTTTTTTGTTTGCTAGGATATGTTAATTTTCTGTCTCAGCCCCAGGTGACCCAGCAGGATGCCTGTCTCTGCTCAGCAAGTAGTCTTCTTTTATAGTAAATAAAAGACTTCTTTAAATACTTATTTTATTTCCCCAACACCATCCTTATATCCCCCTGATCTTTTCTCCATCCCTTTTCCCTATTAATCTCAGGAACGTCACTTCACTTATTAATGTCCATTAGTTTTTATAAGTATGTTAGTTTGCTGACTCATCCACTATATGTTTAATATTTGTCTTTGTAATACTGCCTTGTTTTCCTATACATAATTCCCTTGAACTCCTTTCATTTCTCTGTAAAAAGCGTCATTTTGTCTTTTCTTATGACTGAACAGTATTTCATACATGAGCAGCTCTCTTTATGCCAGTACCATACTCTTTTGATTACTGTAGTTTTGAAGTAAATTTTCAAATCAGAAAATATGAATCTTTCACATTTTTCCTTCACTTTCAAGATTACTGTAACTACTAAGGTCCTGTGAGGTTTCATATGAATTTCAGGGAGCAGTTTTCTCTTTCTGAAAAAAAAAATCATTGGGATTTTGATAGAGATTGCTCTGAGTCCATAGTTTTCTTTGAGCAGTATTAAGTCTTTCAACCATGAACATGAACTTTTACTCTTTATATGACTCCTTTAATTTTTTTCAGTATTTTTTTATAATTTTCAGTGTATAAGTCTTTTATCTCCTTGGCTTCAGTTAATTCTTAAGTAGCTACTGCTACTATAAATGCAACTGTTTTCTTAATTTCCTTCTTGAATTAGTCACTGTCACTAAATGGAAACGCAAGTGGGTTTTTGCATCTTACCTTTATATCCTGCTATGTTACTGAATTTATTTGTTATTATTTTTATTATTACTGTTATTATCATTATTTAAGCAAGCAACATTATATTATTTTTAGGTGTACATTTGTATATAATGCAAAGTGACCACCATAATAAGTCTAGTTAATATCTATCAACACATATTTATAAGTAATAATTTTTCTTGTGATAACTTTTAAGATTATTCTTTGGCAACTTTCAAATATAAATATACTATTAACTATTGTCACCATTTGGTATATTAAATCTCCAGCAATTTTTTATTTTAGACTGAAAATTTATATTATTTGACTGAATTTATTTATTTTAACAGTTTTTTTTGTGACATCATTAGGGTTTTATACATATGAGATTATGCCTTCTTGTGAATAGAGATAATTTTACTTCTTCCTTTCCAGTCTAGATGCTTCCACCATTATTTCATTAAGGTGTATACCAAGGGAAATGAAACCAAATGTTCACACAATAACTTGCCCATAAGTATTAACAGCAGCATTATTCACAATGGTCAAAAAAATGGAAACAATCCAAAATGTCCATCAACTTAGGAATTGATAAATAAAATGTATATCCATACAATGGAACATTATTCAGCAATCAAGATGAATGGATACATGCTACAACATGAATAAACTTTCAATCATAAAAAAAAAAAGAATTCTTTCCACTCTTCCTCCTTTCTCTTCTTCTTCTGGAACTCCAATGTTTGATCTTTCTTAATTGGTCTCTGTTAGGTGCAGTAGCATCTAATACAATAAAATACTTAAGAATTAACTTGAGACAAGGAGGTAAAAGACATATATACTGAAGCATTTTCTCTGTTTTTCAGATTGGATAGCTGCCATCATTCTAGCTTCCCGTTCACGAATTTGTTTGTCTGCCATTTCCATTTTGTTGGTAAGTCTGTTTATTTTAATTTATATTGACCAGTTCTTAAGTTTCTATTTGCTGCCTCTTTACATCTTCTACTCCTTTGTTGAGACCTTCTACTTTTTTTCCCCATTTGTTTTGAAATTGTTTGTAACTTCCCACTTAAATATTTTTATGATGGCTATTTTTAAAATATCTATGTCAGAAAATAAAAATATCTGTTATCTTGGACTTGGCCTAGATTGAATTTTTTTTTAAATATATTAAGCTTGAGATCTTCCTGGTTCTTGGTATAATGAGTGATTTTCAAATAAGCCTGGACAGTTTGAGTATTCTGCTGAAATTCTGAATTTTATTTAAGCCCTCATTTTAGCTGGCTTTCTCTGATATTGCTCTAGCAGGAGAATGGAAGAATGACACATTGTTACTGGCAAGCGCGGATATGAATCCAGGTTCCTCACCTGATTTCTTGTTATTGATGGGCTTATACTTTCTGGTAGGTAAATTTCTGCTTGTTTCCTTTAATATGACTTAATTATTATTACTTTCATATTCTCTTACATATTCTTTTTTGGTTCAGAAATATACTTTCGAAATCAATTTCTTTATTTCAAGGGCAATAGGGAACATTCATAAATATCAGGGGAGGAATTCCAAGCAATTCTTTGGAGGGCACATTATCGTTGTATGCCCTCATGTTCTCCTTCACATCTGCCCACATGTTAAGGTGTGATGCTGCACATTTAGAGGGAAGTCATATAGCTTCAAGACTGTGGGCACTTAGGGAATCTATGGAGAAACTTCAGGCTGTTCCTGAACCCTCATTCCCCATCCAATACACCAAATGTTGTGTGTGTGTACATTTTTCTATGGTCATTTAGTTTTCTCATGGGATTCCTAGAAAGAATATAACTAAAGAGAGGTTAAGAATAACTGAAGCGGGGCCTCCCTGGTGGCACAAGGGGTTAAGACATAACCTATGATGCTGTCCGCAGCCATTGCAGCACAAGTTCAATCCCCAGCTAGGGAGCTGCCCACATGGCGCAGCAGACCGCTCCTGCTTCATCTGCTGCTCCCCTCAGCAATGTATTTCAGTCAATCTGCCTGTTCTGTGCCCCACTCTGTCTCTGGTGAATCCTCTCATCTCTCGCACTTCTGGCCTGTACCCCAGCTCTTGTATGCATAAAAATAAATCTTAAAAAAAAAAAGAATAACTGAAGCAGACTAGCAAATGAGAACAATAGAATTGTATGCTATAAATTAATGATGGCGGGAGCTCTAAATCAGGGTGCAGGCAAGAACAGACAGATGAGCATGGAGGTCCTTTGGCTTCCCTGGATGTGCTGGAGTAGCTAACAACTGTGGGAGCAATGTCCAGGACGTGGGACCTGAGTGCTCTATTCAGGTCTAGGAGAAGCTAAAGATCCTCAAGATTAAAATATTTCAACAAAATGAAATGAGAAAGGGAAAATTATTATGCTTAATGTAGGAAATTTACACTTAAATACAAAAGTGGTTTTTGAGGGGAAAGAAGTCTGATTTTTTTCCCTATCTTATTTCAGCTAAGAAAGCACGCTAACAAAGCAGCTAGTCTGGCCCAGGGGGAAGGAGCTGGCAGTGAGCAAAACTCACAGAAAAGAAATAGCCTCACTGATAAGACAGCCCAGATGAGGACTGTTGCCTCTGAGGTTGAAAAAGTCAAATTAGTGGCTAACAAAATTCTTCCAAGAAATAAATGGAAAGAAATGAAAGTAGATTAGAGACAGGAGAAAGCAGGAGGGAAGCACTGTGAAGGGACTCCAGGACAGTCCTGTGGCAGCAATCACACAAATTTCAGCTGAGCCCAGTGGAGATAGAAACCTAAACCAAATCAGAGCTGGACTAAGTGAATTCCTTTCCTGGAGGAGGCTGGGGCCTAATTGAATCTGCAAAAAATTTCTGTTTCTGAAGCTTCTCTGATTTCTGTTGCAAACTCGGCCTTTGAAAGTCTTTTCAAGCTATTTCATCCCATTAGTTCCAGAGTTTCTAGGACAAGAAAGACTATGTAGGCATTCCAGGCAGAGAACATCAGTTTCAAAAGCAAAGACCACATCTTTCCCTTTCCCTCTTTAGGTTACCTGAGCCTTGAGAAAGTTCAAGAAGAGAAGCTTTCTGCAGAATGATACTGACCTACGTTGACACTCACAGGTCATATGAGCTAGTGAAGAGATAGCCATATTCAGTGTGTCTCTCTGCTATCAAATGGTCGGCAAAGGTCATAAAATCTGATTTATTAGCAATATGCAGCTAAAAAGAATAGGGCCAGGATGGTCCTCTATTCATTAAAGAAATCTAGCCATTCAAGTCTGCATTTTACAGAACTTGTTGTATTGGGGGATTATCTGTTAGGTGGCACCAGGAGACACAAAAGGTATATAAGTTGGGACTCCTTGAGGAATCTCCTATTTACCTTGGGGAGACATAGCATATGCATGCAAACCATTGGGGAGAAGTTATATAACATAATTGTTCAATTGTTCACCACATAACCCCTGATTACAAACTAAGTGCTAAAGGGACCAGGTAGTAGGGGTACAATCAAATAAGGGTAACTTATTTAAATATTAACTGTATTAAATAATTATTTAAATAATCTTTTAGAGTTTTGAAATACTCGGGATATGGCAAAATACACTCTCACACAATATTTAGTTCACACAATATTTACTTCCTAAAACAATTTCTCATTTACTTCCTAGAACCATTCTATGGGAAAATTATATCCAGAATGGTGGGACTGAAATCTGAACCCACTGAGTCTACACCCAAGGGCTCTCTTCACTAGACAGCATTGCCAGGGCTGCACACTTGCATTCTGGTTGATAATCAGAACCCAGCAAGAGAGTCAGACTTCTCTCTGAGCCAAACAGGAAGTTTGGGATAAGGCCATGACTTCACCCCAAGTCTCACAACAGACATTCTGAGGTTGCTTCTTGAACCTTTCACTTGGCAGCTATCAGAGTCCATGCTTGGATTTATCTTTGGTACCAAGAGCAGAAGGTACCTAAATGATTACCAAGGAAAGCTTCTGGAGGAAGTGGGGCAACCTCACACAAAGGACAAGAGGGAGACAGAATGGACTGGGCAGTAGGAAAGTCGGAAGGTCTGGTGATGGCCAGCACAGCCAGCTCAGCCTTGCTATCCTATCAACCCACATCCAGGTGTCTGTCTGGATTTGCTCGGCTTGCCTGTGTAGCTGAGGGTCTAAGATGTCTCCTTCTAGAGTTCTGCAGCAGTGGCAATAATAAAACCTCACATGAAAAATGGAAGAGATCCAAATCTCCTCAGATTTCTTGCCCTTTTTTCCCCTCTGAGTTGAATCAGGAACTCAGTAGGTCTGAAAAGATTTCTACATACTTAGTCTGACCAGAGAGCCTCATCTATTTCAATGGGTTAGTCTAGAGGAAAAGAACAGAGCCTTGGATTCCAGCCTGGATTTAATGACTAGTTCACATGTCTGTTTCCTCCACTAAATTGTTAAGGACAACACTGAGTCTATTCAGATTAATAGAAGCATTTAATCAACACATGTTGAATTAAATTGAACAGACCAGATCTGGCTCTGCCTCAGTGTGACTCTAGATAAGCTCTTGAATGTCCCAAGCTTTAGCTCCTGCAATTATCAATGAAAATGAAAATGCCTGGCCCATGCGCTCATATGGCTGTCAACTGTCACGAAGACCTGAGAAGATCGTACAGAGATGAGCAGTATTAATACTTTCTAGCCCCACAGAAACAGAAAGTATGAATTTGATCACTTATAAAACACTTATGGGATGGGTACATCAATACTTAGGACTTTTCCTTTACAGTATTTTTCTGTCAACACGTTCACACCATGGTAAGGTGCTCAGCTGGTTACAAAGATAATCACAAAGATCTCACAGTCTGTTGGTATGGTCAGGGGTGCCAGGTATCACTATTTCCTTTTGATAGTATCACCATTGGCAGAGGGAGCAAAGATAGATAGGAAGACAAAAAGAAAGCAACACTTGAGCTGGGGCTTACAGTATCAGTAGAGTTCTGGCTCATCCTGGGGGTGGAGGTGGAGAGGGCATTTAAGGAAGAAGAAGCAGCTTTGTGAGCAGTGAGGGTGGTGTGGGCAACAGCTATGCAGAGAGGGCAGGAGGCCTGAGGTAGACGGAACACAGATGGCCATGGAGCTGGGCAGACAGGCAGGAGAGTTGAACTCTGCTTTGTGGGCGATCGGTGGGAGGCACAGAGGAGGGTGGCCTGTTTTCGGGGGGTGGGAGGCACAGTGCAGAAGTGTTCTGAGGCCTCTTTGCACCAGTTTAAGAGCTGATTGTTAAATTTTCATCATTTCTGTGAGCTGATTGATTTTATATTGATAGTGTACAGTCAGCTAATGGTGAGCATGTTTAAACCACAGAAACTGACTAACATCATAAATCAGGGTCTGGTTGTGCCTTTTTCAGAGCTGTTCGGTAAATATTTTTGGCAAGTATATGTGTGCACAAGTGTGTGTGTGTATGTGTGTGCGTGCACACATGCGTGCACATGGGAGTAGAGTTGATATAAGTCACAAGGAAGAAGTCTAGCGATAGCCATACAAGGAACTCCAGCAGCACTGAGTGAAGTCTTGGGCACTCACCAGTCTCAGATTCTTCATGGCTTGGGGAAACATGCCCTGGTGTAGCTGCAGTTTGCCAACTTTCATCACCTGCACACCTCTGACGGGATGGCATCCTGGGAAAAAGGTCCTGAAAGAAACCAAATGGCAAACAGTGTCAGGAGCTCTTACCATTGCAGCCGGCATTTCACTGGGAGACCATGGGAGTGGGAGCAAACACTGGCTGTGAATGTTAATGAGCTACTGTGAGGAAATTAGTTTTGCAAACAGGAGAATGTGATACTGAGGGGAATAAGCACATTATCAGCCTCCTGCTCCTGCTCCTCACAATTCCTTTTGCATTAGGAGGGGGAAAAGACAGGATGGGAATGCCTCTGAAATAAACACAAGAGAAGAGAAACAAGTTTGGACCTCTGCATTGCTCTTTGGGAGGCGAGTGGGAAGATCAGGTGCTAATCTTATCTTCAGCCTCTTCCATGAAGTTCCAGCACCCAGGCCAGTCTCGGAAAGGAAGACAGACTTTCGATAACGACTAAGTGAAGTGAATGAATGGAAGGTCTCAGGACTCCCCATCTGGATAAGACCACACCCTCTGCTTACTACAAAGCCCTTTGAATTTTAGTTGCGCAGTTCATCATAGTTCACCTTTCTCATAGGCTCTGGTCTATTTATCTTCTCCTCGCACTGGACTACAGAGCTGTTCATTCAGGTGCCCCATCTGTGTTGGCCATGATGTCCTGTCTGTAGGAGCAACGTGATGCACAGTCGAGCATTTTCACCCACACAATAGAATAGGGTGTTGCAGTGGACAAAAAATGCAAACTTAGGGCTGTGTTTCACATCCAGTGTTATTTCAATTTCAATCAATTATTATACTATATTCAATAAATGTATAGTTTGACCTCTTCCACCCTCCGTGACCTTTGTTCTTAGTGTCTACTGAACTCTTGCTATATGTGTGGCAGCAGGGAAATACTACCTTGTGTGTGTGTGTATATGCATACATACATACACACATACATACATACATATGGGCTTTTCTCTAGGACCCCCAAATCCCATTAGACACAAGATAAACAAATATTCATACAACACTCAAAACTATTATAGGACAGAGCATGATTTAGTGCCCAAATGACATCTATCTCAGTATAGGGGAAAGCTCAATTCAAGTTTATTGACTTCAAGTATGAAGCGAGAAGGTGACGGATGGGTGGGCCTGGAGGAGGTAAGAGGACTTAAACCGGCTCCCAAGGGGTTGGGAAGACTGGGCTGTGAGGGGAGAAGGGAAGTGCATTCAAACTTAGTACAAGCGAGGACACACCACCCGGCTGCTTCTCCAGAGACGACAGGTGCCTGTCAGGAATGTCAGCCCACACATAACCTGCTCTTAGACATAACCCTCCAGGCCGCGACTTACACAGAGCTTGCGATGGGTGCTGTTTTAACTGCTTTTCATTTATGAACTCGTGGAACCCATATTTAAGTCCTACTATTTCTATATAGTGGCGAGGAGGTAGGTTTACCAGAAGAGACACGTGTTCTCTGGCGAGTGTACACTATTCGCGAACCCTTCCCTCTCCTGGCACCGCAGCTCTTCCCCTCATGAAATGTGATATAGAAATTTTTTTCCATTAAAGCTCTTAAAAAAGTAGAAAGAGAGGGAGGCATTTACATGAATAGAAGGTTGGCCACTTAAAGAACTGAAAAGGGAAGGAGGGGAAGGACAAAAGAGACACCTGGGTCCTGGATTTTTCTTCAAATATGCCAGGAGATCAATCGCTTCACCTCTCACCCCTGACAAAATGAACATCATTATCTACTTGTGTGGAAAAGATTTGAAGAGCTGCAGACAAAAGCTTAAGTACAGGACGCCATTATCAGAAGGTAATTGGCCTGGACACTTCCCTTATAAAGCACACCTGGACTTAGGATTTTATTTTATTGCTACGAATATGACATAATTAAATTTAAAGGCCAAAAAGTAATTTTATACAAATAATCATTCCACTAAGTGGCTGTCTGTCATGTCAGTAAAAAGAAGGAAAGAAAATCTTTGGTTCTATGGTGGCAGAGAAAGCGGTGCCTAATTACGACATGTCAGGTACCTGCTCTGGTTTCTTGAAGATATTAAATAATGAGGCGTTTCATGGGAGAGGATGAGGAGGAAGTGTCTTTGAGTGACCTGCCCATAAATATTTGCAGAGCGGTCTCCGCTCCGGCAGGCATGCAGGTCCTGGGCCTGCGTCGTTTCTGGAGCCCTCCCAGCTGACATATGGAATAAGAATCACGATCACTGGCTCCAATAGTGCCCCAAGGAAAACCGGTGATGCTCACTCCTGCTGGGAGAAGTTCATCAACTTTACTGGTGTGACAATGATGAGGAGAGAGGAGGGCCTGTGAGTGGCATTCAATCACAGGACTGTAAAAAATCTAGGCCAGCCTGAGAGCCTGAACCAGAGAAGGAATTGGGGTGCCGGAGCACCAGAAAGACTAAAGGGAAGCTTGCGAGGGAAGGCCAGGGCAAGGTGCACCCACGAGGTGCTGGCTCTGAGCCTCGTTGGGGACAGATGTAGAGAAGTTCATGGGGAGCCCTTGGCCTTGGCGAGTGTACATTCTCGTTGCAGAAATGGGGCAAACGAAGTGAGGGCACCAAGAGATGGTGGGGGCTGCCAGACTGTGGCACAGAGGATGTGTGCTCCAGAGGCAGCCAGAGCGTGGTGATCACAGGGTTTCTTGGAGCATCAGAGCTTGAACCAGTGTAGACTGGGGAGCTGACAGGCTCCTGGGACAAGCACAGGGGGCGTGGGAAGGGACTGGCCGCTCTGGTGAGGAATGAAAGGGACACTTGAAGCCAGGCTGTGCAGAGGCAGAAATGCAAAGCCAGGCACACTGCATGAAGCTGAGAGCATTTCATCAGAATTGGAAACAAAAGAAAATTGGAGAAGAAACCTGAAAGGTAGAGAGATTTGAGGCAGGAAGGTGGTCATGATAACAGAAGAGAAAGGGCTGATGTGAAAGAAATGTTTTACAGCTGATTCAACAGGACCTGGAAATCTGCTGGGGTTCCGTGGAGTCAGAGCTGACTCCAAGATGCAGATTTAGAACACCGTCATGCGAAATGCCAGCAAACTATGTAATAACAACGTTATCTGACAAGGTATTCCACTTGCTTGGGTGTTAGAAATGTTCTTTTCATAAGAATAATGCTAGCAGCCACATGCTCCAGAACGCTGGACCAAGAATGGGAAAATCGCCTTTGGTGTTTGCATGGTGAATAAGTTCCTAGGAAGGAATGTGTTTAAACAAGCCGAGGAAGGTAGCAGCATACACACTAGCTTAAACTCAGTGCCATAAGCACCAAGATCTTGCTCCTATATTTTACAAGGAGACTGAGAGTCAAAGAACTGGAATGACTCAAGTTAAAAGAATATAGAGAAGAAAATACCTGATGGCTGGCCTTATGTTGTGAGGGTTTTCTACAAGATATAATTATCAATCACAGTGTTTTATTACCCTTTTGGTATTTATTGGGAAGAAAAAAATAACAGTTCTGGTTGAGGGCTATGTTTTTAAGAATGGATTTAAAACATATTATTGAATTTAAAAGGGGAATTTAACTTGCCTACATAAATTGTATGACAGTTACCAGATAGCCCCACTATATGAATTTTAAAATAGTGCTAGAAGTAGACCACCATTATTTAACTTCCGAGGAAGTGATCCAGAAAAAAGTATCAGTGGATGAAACCAGAAGATCACAGATGGAAAGAGAATTTTAACATGGAGAGATTGGTTTGTTACAATCTGAACCTACTGGTCTATTTTAGTGTCACTAAAATGGGACAACCAGGGACTTCCCTGGTGGCACAAGTAGTTAATGTGCAGCACTATGAAGCTATTGGCAGCCACTGCAGCACGAGTTTGATCCTCAGCCAGGGAGGTGGCCCACATGGCACAGCAAACCTTTCCTGACTAGCCCACTGCTCCCCTCAGCAGTATGTTTCAGTAGATCCACCTGTTCTGCTCCCCACTCTGTTGCTGGTGAATCCTCTTATGACCCCCCACCTCTGACCTGTACCCCAGTTCTTGCATGCATAAATAAATCTTTTTTTTTTAAGATTTATTTATTTATTTATACAAGCACTGGGTACATTCAGAAGCATGGGAGGGTGAGAGAATTCACCAGAGCCAGAGCAGGGAGCAGAACAGGCAGACTGACGAAGTACACTGCTGAGGAGAACAGCGGGCCTGGCAGGAGAGGTCTGTCGCACCATGTGGGATGGAACCTCGTTGGTGGCCAGGGATCGAACCTGCGCTGCAGAGGCTGCAGGCAGCTTCGCAGCCCAGCACTCAACCGCTGCGCCACTGGGGAGGCCCCAATAAATCTTTTAAAAAAAATGGGAAAACCAGGCAGTACACACTATCTAATACGACACAAGAGGAATTATTTTGACCTGCCTATAAAGCATTCTTGAACTCCCCCAAAATAAGAAACTTTATTTAATCAAGCCCATAAAGTTAAATTCCATTTCATAGAAAAAATAAGTGATAGAGGAACACATGAAAGCAACCAGCTAAATTCAGGGTATATGGAATTCTACAGGATCTTGACCCAGCATCCTCAAGAGATTAATAGCATGAAAAGATAAAAGAGGGCAGAGACTTAAGAAATATAATAATCAAATGTAGTGTATAGAACTTAGGCAACTTTAATGCAAACAAAACTGTAAAATGATTTTTTGTGAGACAATCTAGAAAATCTGACCATGAAATAGTATTACGGATATAAAAGAAAATGTCCACATTTTCCAGAGATGCAAACTGAAGTATATAGGGATGAATGATGTAATGTCTGAAATTTGATTTACACTTCTTCAGCAGAAGTTCTCCTTCCAGGAATGGTGCATTAGCTTGTATTGGACTAAACTTGTTCTTTTAACCTATCTGAGGTATCAAAATAATTGCTGAGGCCTTGGGGTCTTGAAGAGTCAAGACTGCAGGAAGAATGGAAGGGCGTGGAAGAAGATGCTCCTTGCATTCCTTCATTGCTGCTTTCTCCCCTTGTTCAATGCAACTTAAATAGCAGAGTAGCAGTTATAACGGTCTCACAGAGATGAGGATACAGAG